TTCTCCAAGTGGTAACCTACTGTCTTCTTTTTTTTGCGTATGATCTTATGCTGGGCAAAATTGTTCTGTTGTTAATGCCACTCAGTTTAATTGTGTGTTTGGGCTGAATGTGTTGGCAAGCTATTCAATGACAAGGAGGACAACAAAAGAGCCTGACCCTGTTCCTACCTGATGTTCAGACACATGCATTCATCTCTGGAAAGTGTGTGATCATTTAAGCAAAATTCCTGTTGATGTTTATGTTTCTTAACAGTGAGCTTTAACTGTACTGGTGTTCTTGCAAGCCTGATTTAGATTGTGAAAACTCTACGTAAACAGCAATGCTTCTCAATTCCATAGAATCTTTAATGTAGCAAAGCATCCCAGGTGCAAGATGGGAGCATGATGAAAAAGAATTTGATATGATCTTCATGAAGAGATGTTATTTAGTCATGTCATAAAGGTTTAGATCGAGAGAACCTTAGAGACAGAATTCTGGAGTTTGGAACTAAGCAGCAGAAGGACTGAATCTTTCTATGTTTTGGCTAATTAGTTTTTGTTGAGTTTCATATAGGGTTTCTGACCATGAATTCTAGTAAGTTTTCTTGTGTGATTATCCTGGATGCAAGGCAAGACAAACATGCTGTAAGCAGCCAGGTAGGCTCAAAGTGAACGAACACTAAGTGATCAAGTAAGGAGCCCTGAGTTGGATATCCATCCCTGCAACCATATTGCAATGAAAAGTGCTAATGTACTCCAAAGTGCATCGTTGAAGTGCAGAAACATACAGAAAGTGGATCAGAGATATACTATGATGCTGCGGAGATGATGGCATGTGTTGGATCTTCATGTCAATGGACACGGGGTACTCCCAGTGTATGTACATGGGGTATGTACCGTAAGATGTTGGTGCCATGTGTCCAAGATGGAGGTACAGAAAGCAAGCAGTGAGTTGAAGTTGTCAGTTAGTCGTTCAGATTTTCATTTCAGGAATTCTTGGTGTCAAGTTTCTATTCTGTGGGTGGGAAAATGGAAACCTGTATATTAGGTAATGATGTGGGTGATAATGAGCCAAAATACCAGTTAACAGGCCTCTCACAGCACACTCTTGAGAACCTCATTTCACTGTCTGGAGCTTGGTTGGAAAACGTGACTTGTCTGTTTCACTGTTGAGAAAAGCCTCATTTGACATTTCTCTCAATTCCCCCAAATTTCTTACTGTAGCCTGAGTCATTCAGGGCCTGGGAAGATTCTACCCATGGGTGCTAATAGTGAACCGATTAAAACCAGGGATGCATTAGAATCAAGAATCAGAGAATTTAAAGGTTGTTGAGTTGGAATAGGTTACAGAGACAATGAGGGGGTGGGCTATTAAGGGATCTCATAATAAAGTTGCATGTTTTAAACTCAAGGCTTGTTGGACTAAGAGTTGTGCGATAGTGCATTTATTCCTTGAACCATTAGCTATCAGTCTTATCAAGCCCAGACACCACTTCTCTAGCAGTATGCTTTAGTCTTTCATTTGCAGTTCCCTACTCTTGCTCCATACTTGTTAATTATCTTACATTTCAGATATGTATCCATTTGATGTTTAACCCTATCAATTGATTTTACGTCTGTCATCCATTGAGGCAATGCATTTCTCACTCACATAAATGTTTTGAGGAACTTATTTCTAGATTTGCTGTAAACGGACCATTTCAGTTTTAAGATTATGACAGTAATAGCACAAGGTAGATGGAGAGGATCACAGTACTTTTAAATTCACTCTGTTTTACTGAATCCGTATGTCACTCTTTTTAACTTGTGTTATTTTGAGAGGACGTTATTATTTATATTGTACACGAGTAAATTTTATAGAGAAAGGGTCCTTTTACCCCTCCTCCCTACAGAGAGTAAAAGTGCTTCCCTTTGTTAAAAAGGCCTGCCACAGATGATTACTGCTCAGTGAATAGCTGCAATAATCCATGTAGAATCTAATCGGGAATATAATAGTCTGTCATTGTGTTGATAAACTGAGGCACCACATTCGGCACACTGTCCATATCCCTAAGTTCTGAGATGAAGGGAAAAAAAAAATCTGTGACTGGTTTAAGTACAATATAAAACCACTATGGACCCATTAGTGTGCAGACTCTATATTAGACTGGCTTCCTTCATCTGTGTTCTGTTTATCTGACTTGGGCACTCAGATGGGGCTGAAGTGAAGGATGCAGAGCAGAGGCCAGACAATTTTAGACTGAGGGAGAGATAATCGAATAGATGTGGAACTCCCATTTATTTCTGAGTGACTGAACACAGATTAATATTGGGAGAGTGCTCAGAGGAGGTCACTTTTCTCTCTTAAATCAGCAAGGAATGTGAGGTATAAGGAAGACTAAGCAGGGGAGAAGGGTGGTGATTTTACAAAATCGCAGGTTGTGGCAATACTAAAACAGGAATAGCAAAACTGGGCAATAGTTAACATAGCAATACACTGAACCAACAGAGAGGGTGAACTTATTGAGTTGCTTCAAATGTTTGCGCAACTTGTAACAGCAACAGAAACAGTAAAGTTTAATTTAGAGCAATTGCTGTCTAATTTGGTTTCTGTAATTGGTGTAAACAGGTTGTAGCCCTTATGCCAGCAATTGTCACCCTCCTGGCTGTTCCTCAGTAACCGTGTAGGCATTTTTAAATGTATAAGCATCCCAAAGGTATGTGTTAGTGATGGCACAGTGTGGAGCTGGAGGAACACAGCAGGCCAGGCAGCATCAGAGGAGTGGGAAAGTTGATGTTTCGGGTCAGGACCGTGTGTGTTCATTTGAATTCAGGTATGACTTTAAGCAAGGAAATAGTTGAGAATGCCTTTTAGGAAGAAAATTTGATCATTTTCTTGGCAGTATAGCTCAGAGTAGGGTCCCAGTGGATGGTTGGTGAAGTATTTTTTGTGGTGTTGATGTTTAATGTTGCAAAGTACCTAAAAGCTGAGAGATGGTATTGTAGCAATTGAAGATGTGAGAGACTGGAACTAAATGCCCCTTCCTGTGACTATCAAGGGAAAAACAGCCCTTGTCAACATAATACATGTATAAATATTTTATGAAATTGTTTGGTAATCATGTACAAATACATATTCTTTGTGATTAGAGGGTGTGTATTTATATTCCTGTATGTATGTGTGTATATATCAGTCTTTGTAGATATTTGTTCATGCATGTTACTTGGGCAATGTTTTAAGCACTGGTCTGTGTGTTTTAAAAGCTGAAACAAGCTGTTTTCGGTTTTAGCTTTGGTTTTAGGTTCAGAGCAATGTTACTTGTGAAGAAACATGGTGAGGATAAACAATGAGCAAGAACTGGCAAAAAGGTGATCAATACTAAGATTCATCAAATACGGGGCCCTGTGGGGTACTCAACTGCTGGAATGTCAATTACTGTTTACAGATATCATGGCATACTTTGGTGACCAGAACTCTTTAGAGAAAGGATACAAATACCAATTCACCTCAAATGGTGATCTGCATTTACTGTTGTTTCATATTTTTGCAGAATTGAATAGGAGGTTCAGAGAATGGATCTGAGAGCAGGTCTGTACTGTGGTGTACATCTCCAAGTGCCTCCTAAAGAATACCCTGAAAATTGAAGGGAGAACCCAATATAGTCCATGAGATAGAAATGTGTTGTTATGCGTCTGAGAGGTAGAAAGATTGGTATAAATTCTGGAGCAAGGCTTAATGTAAAACTGGGATTTGTAATATCAACAGAGGGAATATCAATAAAGGGAGCTAGAAAAGTATATGAGAGAAATAGAATAGAAATATGTTGATGTAACTGATTGGACCCCTATTAGACTGAAAAGCCCTATGTATATGTTTCCATCATGTATCCTGAACCTCTGATTCAGTCATCTACATTAGCTCATGATGTTTGAACATGCAAGACACATAAGAAACAGGATACCTGTACTTCCTGTCAGAGTGCTGTTAATCATGAACTGACTTCTCCAGGTAGTGTCTCCATCTGGTTTCAGTACTGGACTGGGGAGCTGAATTGCTGCTTTTAAATTCTTAGATCATTTTCCCACACTCCATCACGTTGAATTTCCATAGTTGCTCATGTCTGCAAGATCATCTGCCAGAACATGCTTGTGATGAGCAGTCGAAGATGTTGATTATTTGCATAGAGACTGCTAAAAAATGTATGCGTATTGCTGAAAAAAGATGCAATTGTCAAAGCTTTTCATCTTACAGTTATCAGGGCAACTTGCAACAAGATCAATTTCAGGGGAAAATCAACATTTCTACTTTGAGAGAAACATGCTGATTGGTTAGCTAGTAAACTCTAATTGGTAGAGGCATTGCCATGGAGAATGCATCAGTTAATGATGACTAATTATTAACTGCCATGCTTTGTTTAAATTTTAAGCTGGGCAGTTTGACTCTGATGAAGGTTTTGCCCAGAAAAATGAAGCAGTGAATGGTACAGAACTCAGAAGTTCCGAGGAAGGGTCACTGGGCCCAAAACGTTAGCTCTGATTTCTCTGCACAGATGCTGCCAGACCTGAGCTTTTCCAGTAATTTCTGTTTTTGTACTGTTTTGGTATTTGTTTTATGCTCCTGTGGCTATTCAGTTTTAAACTGCTGCATCTGCAGTTTAATTCAGGTGGCTACGTGTCACCAAGTGATGATGGTTTTCATAAACTTCAAAGAAACTTTCGCTATTTAAGGATGTGTATGGATGATTCTCCTCAGCTGCGATTCAGTGTTTCAGATATTCACACTTCAGCAAAATCTATGTATCTCACCTTAGATTTATCAGATTGCAATAGACACGAATTTTCTATTCACCCAAGCTGATATATCTTGGCTTCCAGCACCATTCATAGCAAATTCCTTGTCTCTCTCATTAGTTTATCCAGTAAAATATGGTAACATTCTAAGATGGGTTTAACCAGTATTTGCTGTATGGAAAAGCCTGATGTGATGTAGTATTGTGAGTGAATCCTGAGCTACAGGCTTGCTGCACTAGTAATATTTAACTATGGTGGAAGCTTTCAATAAGGTTGTTGATGAATGCAGAAATCAGGTATGTTTGTCCTGAGGTAATAGCGATCCCTTAAGGTCAAGTTGATCTTTGTTTTGAGGCTGTGTTTAAGCTGTGAGTAAACAGTGATGCCTTGGTAAGGATTTTTACAAGGAGGCATATACTGGGTAGGATAGCAGTTATCTTTTTCATTTGACTCCTACAATGTAGGATTTTTTTTGCACTTTTACACATAATATATGCATGGTTGTAGCTGCAAAATTACACAAAACTGATGTTTTGATATTTATTCATTTTTGTGTTAGCATTAGCACAGGCTAATGAGGGAGTTTTCTATAGAATTAAGCAGGTACTTTGACAAACACTCGTGAGCTGGAGGCCGGATTGAGGCACACTTTTTATGCAGCTCTTCAAAAAGATTTCAGGTTGCTCGTTATCAGCAAAAGCTCAGTGCCGGTGCTGCTTTGCCGGTTCCCTCTGGTAATATATTCACAATGTTTGTTTCAGCAGAGGGGTATTTTTGAAAGTATGGTGGCTTCCAAACTGATACCAGCAAGGTGGGATTCACCATAGCCGTTTACACTTCTTACAGTTGCACAGAATTGCAAAGGCAGCTCACAGATGAACGGTCAGCTTCTATCAACTACATTTGTGATAACAAAAAGTCAAAGTGAATAGATAATCACATCCAGGATAGTTTTCCACCAGCACAGGTTTTCATTGATAGCGCAATTGTGGCAATCCAAGGTTGACAATGGCAAGCAGGACTTTTTTGATCAATTGCAAGACACTTTATTCATTGCTGAGTGACTGGTGTACAACCAAACTGATTTTCATCTGGGTTGATGCCAGATCCCATGAGAGCTGTATATGATGCTTTTGGGTTGCAGCAAACCAAACTTCCAGACCTTTTAGTTCAAGGTCAGCTGTGATCCTAATGAATGGCAGAGCTGGACATGAAGGGCCAAATGGCCTATTTCTCCTTATTAATGTTTGTCGGGACTAGCCTTGAGGATTGGCGTATAGGAGAACAGGAATATGTCCCCTTCAAACTTGGCGGATGACACTTTTGGGGAACCCCACGAATAAGACGCTGGACTGCCTGTGTGGAGTTTTACATTCTCCCCATGTCTGCATGGGTTTCCCTTCACAGTCCAAACATGTGCACACTGGGTGGATTGGTGAAGCTAAATTGTCCTGTAGTGTCCAGGGATGTGCAGGCTAAGTGGGTTGGCCATGGAAAATGAGGGCTTATGGGGATAGTCTGTATCTGCACAGTAGGGATACTGTGATTCTATGTGATCTGAGATAGTAGGAACTGCAGATGCTGGAGAATCCGAGACAACATGGTGCAGGGCTGGATGAACACAGCAGGCCAAGCAGCATCATGGGAGCGGAGAGGCTGACGTTTCGGGCCTAGACCCTTCATCTGCAGGATGTATGTGAATCAATAATTGTGTGCACCTTTCATGACTTGGTTGGGTCATTACATCTCTTACCACTCCACAACCAGAAATAGGATGACTGTGCTCATTTCTTCAGCAGTTCTCAACAATGCCTCAGTATCATAGGATCCCTATAGTGCAGGTAGAGGCCAATTGGCCCAATGAGTCTGCACCAACCCTCCACACACCACCCTGTTCCCTGCATTTACCATGACTAATTGACCAAGCTTACATATCCCTGAATACTATGGGGCAATTTAGCATGGTCAATCCACCTAACTTGAACATCTTTGGTCTGTGGGAGGAAACCGGAGCACCCAGCGAAATGTAATCACAAGAGGAATGTGCAAACTCCACACAGTTGCCTGAGGCCGGAATTGAACCCGAGTCCCTGGTGCTGTGAGGCAGCTGTGCTAACTGTTGAGACATCATGCCTTTTATCCCATTAGAGGGCAAAATATGTCCGTCCAATATCTGACTGGAACAGCAATAATTCACATTTTTTTTCTTTATTCATTCACGGAATGAGGGTGTCACTGGCCAGGCAGCATTTATTGCCCAGAGGGCAGTTAAGAGTCAACCACATTGCTGTGGGTCTGGAGTCACATGTAGGCCAGACCAGGTAGGATGGCAGTTTCCCTCCCTGAAGGACATTTGTGAACCAGATGGGTTTTTCTGACAATCAACAAAGGATTCACCGTCATCGTTAAATTCTTAATTCCAGATATTTATCGAATTCAAATTCCACCATCTACCATGGCGGGATTCGAACCCCGTCCCCAGAATGTTATCTGGGTCTCTGGATTAACAGTCCAGCAATAATACCACTGGCCATCGCCTCATTGAATCTTAATGTTGCCTTTCTATTCATGAATTCCTCCGAAGCATACACTGTGCACTGCCACGTTTTATTTCTGTATTAGCCCTCTATATTGTGGGGAGACGGCTGTCAGTGGGCTCTTCCTGAGGCTGCACCTCTCAATTAAACACTGAGTGCCTTTGAATGAAGGACCCCTGAGACTTCAAGCAACCTGTACAGGTGTGTTTGTCATGTTCTCCATGTCGTGAGGCCCCTTCCTGACACTAGGCTAATACCAGCTGCAGGAGGATGAGGCACTTAAGTGGTTTAATTGACTACTTAAGGAACTCAGTTGGCAACAGGGTGGAAAGATGATGTGCCTTCTTCCCATGTACGCAATCAGGGCGGATGTGAGAAGATGATGAGGTCTCCAGTTCATTCTCCTGCCCAGTTAAATACTTTCCGGAGGGACCACTCTCTCCGTGACTCCCTTGTCCGCTCCACACTCCCCTCCAGCCCCACCACACCCGGCACTTTTCCCTGCAACCGCAGGAAGTGCTACACCTGCCCCCATACCTCCCCCTTCACCCCATCCCAGGCCCCAAGAAGACTTTCCACATCAAGCAGATGTTCACCTGCACATCTGCCAATGTGGTATACTGCATCCGCTGTACCTGTTGTGGCCTCCTCTACATCGGGGAAACCAAGCGGAGGCTCGGGGACCGCTTTGCAGAACACCTACCCTCAGTTTGCAATAAACAACTGCACTTCCCAGTCGCGAACCATTTCAACTCTCCCTCCCATTCCTCAGACGACATGTCCATCCTGGGCCTCCTGCAGTGCCACAACGATGCCACCCGAAGGCTGCAGGAACAGCAACTCATATTCCGCTTGGGAACCCTGCAGCCCAATGGTATCAATGTGGATTTCACAAGCTTCAAAATCTCCCCTCCCCCTACCGCATCCCAAAACCAGTCCAGCTCGTCCCTGCCTCCCTAACCTGTTCTTCCTCCCACCTATCCCGTCCTCCCACCTCAAGCCGCACTCCCATCTCCTACCTACTAACCTCATCCCGCCCCCTTGACCTGTCCGTCCTCCCTGGACTGACCTATCCCCTCCCTAACTCCCCACCTTGACTCACCTTTACTGGCTCCATCCCCGCCTCTTTGACCTGTCTGTTTCCTCTCCACCTATCCTCTCCTCTATCCATCTTCTATCCGCCTCCCCCTCTCTCCCTATTTATTTCAGAACTCCCTTCCCCTCCCCCATTTCTGAAGAAGGGTCTAGGCCCGAAACGTCAGCCTTTCTGCTCCTATGATGCTGCTTGGCCTGCTGTGTTCATCCAGCTCTGCACCTTGTTGTCTTGGATTCTCCAGCATCTGCAGTTCCTACTATCTCTGATCCAGTTAAATACCTTTTCTGTTTCCAAACTCTTCACAGGAAAGGCATCAAAACCCCCCCATTGTGTTCCAATGGATGACCGTTCTAAATTTCCTTCTAATCAAAGTGGGTTTTTGCTAAAACAAGGTGTTTTACAAAGGACTGTCTTCTGCTAAGTTAATTATTTTCCATGTTGTATAGCTCAAAATCAAACCTCGACCACTTTGACAACTGAATTCATGAGAAAGGAATGTCTTTGTATAATACAATTAAAGTTTCTTGTCAAAATACCTCATTATTTCAACTGTAATATACAAAACTTGGTAAGAATAACACAATATTAGATCCAATTATCCATTGAATTTTAACCTACTTGACATGAAGTCTGAATATCATTCTGACTTTCTATGTGCAACATCATTGAAGATCTTTTAATATTTGCTATTTTTGCCTTATTGAAGAAATCATTTTTTCATGCAATTGTTGCAAAATTTTCTGTGAAGTTACCCGCAATAATTTAAAAACATTCAAATGATCAAAGATGAGAAATCACTGATAATCCATCATGATTAATCCCTAGAATTTTATTCGTCAAAGCATCATAGTTAAAAAGGCAGATTGAAGAATTATCCTAAATCTGCCCTATTGGTAATTATTGTAAAGATTTTGAGATGCTTTAGTGCCTGTACTTTTCTACTTATTGATGCTTGAGTATGCATAATTAACAATGTGAAATTTCCCGTGTGTAAGATTTGTTAGCTAACGTAACAGAATGTATATTAATTGGTAGAACTCAGTAGTACTGTTCCAGTACATTTTTAAAAAATAGTCATGGTGTTTTTGAAGTCATTATACCCCTGCTGAACTGCTGTCCAGCTCTACTTGAAACTGAGAAAGCATAGAAGATTGGAAAATTGCACGGATTGGTAAAAGATTAAATTCTGCTCTGTGGAGCTGTGATATTCTACGAATTTGCATCTCAACAGCCTCATTCACCCTGTTTTGCAGATGTTTGCCAGATGAACAAATGGGTCAGAGGTCACCATTTTTGGTGCCACATGGGAGATATGGCTGTTTAACTCTCATGGAATTCCGTGTGCAGCTTTAAGTTAAGGAATTGTAAACGAGTCCATCTAACTTAATGAATAAAAGTTGATGTAAATCATCTTATCTGATTTCGTTGTGCAATGCCAGCAATACTGTGAAAATGACTGTACACTTATATTGTTATTAGAAGATTGGTGGAAAACTGTTCACCTTTCCTGTTACAATGTGTAAAGTTGTAAAAAAATTATATGTATTACATAGTTACTTCCACAGTCTTCTCCATAAATATGTAAATGTCTAGAGCTCTTGGAGGATAATATCAACTCTGTCTCTGACTTAGATTGCAACTATAAACAATTAACATTTTTTTT